GGGGGAACATTTATAGCAGTTAATTAATAGCAGTTCATTAGCCGTCTTCTTGCTTCCCAGTATCTCTGGCTTTCTATCATTGTCTTTAGGGCTGGACACCGAATCAGGTGGGTCTTCTCCATTTCCTCCTGTAGGTTACATAGGGGGCATGTGGGTTTGAGTGCATACTCCCAATCTGTGAAGATGTTTTGCCAAGCAATCGTGTCCGGAACGTAGTCTAAACTCAGCAACGGCTTCAATTCTTGGCCAGTCGGCTATGTCGGAGAGTGCCACTATCCACTGTTTCTCATTTCTTCGAGCTTTAAGTTCGTTGCAACTTGAGGTCTGGAATTCTCTTCTGATTAAGGCCTCCATTGTGTGGAAAGACATCGGGCTGTCCATGCATTGCAAAATCGTTGTCCCCTTCTTAGTAAGTGTGTCAGGAAGCTCATTGCCTTTAATGCCACAGTGACCAGGAATCCATAGTAGGACCACTGTTTTGTTTTTCTCTCTCAGCAGCTCATAGAGTTTTCTACATTCCTTTATCTCAGCTGTTTTGGGTGGCTCTCTGTTTCCAATTGAGTTTATTGCTGACTGTGACCGCTTTGGAGAATTTCGTATCCAGGCAACATAATTGGCATAGTGCTAGAATTTCATTGTAACTTTGCTTGAAGAGCATGTGATTGGAATTATGCATTATTTTCATCTTTATAGGAGCTTGGCACATTCCATGATGCAAATGAATCAGTATTCCCGTTACAAGCGTTAAAGGGAATAAGTGAACTTAGTTATCGCTTTTACGCCATTTTCTATTTGCTCAAATTTGTTTATTTTTGTGCTTTTCAATTGAATGATATTTTGCTCTCCTCTAATTTAAGTAAATCAAGGATATTTCTCGAATATTTTGACTTATTTTTAGCACATATACTCATTCATCACACTTATTACGATAGTTTATACGCTTTTGCGTTTTTTTCGTGAAATTAATTAAGATGCTAGGCATTTTCGTCTCCATTAGTGTATACTCGATTACCCTAATGAATAAAACAAATAAAAATATTCTTATATTAACGACAGTTATAGATAAAAGCACCATTACTATGCTACGCATGCTGTAGCCTTTCTCAGGTTACAGCTTATAATGAATAAGTTGGTCATCGTTTGAAAAATACCAATAAGGAGACAGAGGTTTTCCATATTATTTACTTTTCATTCAATTCACAAAAGCAAGACAATTTAGATCACCTATTCGTTTAATTAATATAGACAACACTTTCATTATACGCTTTTGCTGAAACTATTCTAGTTGTTGTGGATATCTCGGCTTTATAACACTTGCATTCCTATCTTGTAATCCAATTCTAAGATTTTATCTAAATATTGTCTTCCAGGAACAGAATTATCCTGAAAGATCCAAAAAACTACGAAGTCGATCCGTTTGACGAATTTGCTATCAAAAGAGCATAGGGGTTTCTAATCAAATGTTCTTCAAAATGTACAGTTTGGAAAAATTATCTACTGAAGTAGAAGTAAATGATTTTATAAAGAAGATACGACAGCTATTTTCATTTTAACTTAATATGTTCGATGCATATAATTATTGATTTTGTATTTAGGTGAACTTTGGTGGCCAAGCCTTGTATAATAATTGAAAAAGATCAATTCTTAGTTCTAATATCTGAGTTGAAATTAGCTATATTAGAAAGGTTTTTTTAATTTTTTTGATGGGTCCTGTCAATTACACCTTTAATTAATGAAATAATGAAAATTCGCTGGTGTTAGAAGTTTTCAATTTCCATAAATTTAGTTCTTAGTTCTCATTATCGCCCTGTCTGCCAATCAAGTCTAGAGATAGTTAATACAAATCCCCTCTTTGTTCGACTCAGTGTGTGAAGTAAACAAACCTCGTATGATCTTTAATCTTGCTCATCGCCCAACAAGCCATCAGCTCAAATACTTGACAAAATTCCTTGCAAATCTTCGTTCAAAATTAAATTTTTGCGAACATATTTTATTCGAATTTATAGTCCCTATCAATTGAAAATGCTCCCAAGAAATTGGTGAAAGAGCGTGAACGCAGTAACTGAATTCCAAAGTATTATGCTTCTGGTTCCAATAGCCAGGTGAAAGTAAATGAATTTTCTACTTATATCAATTTACTAGTGAATAGGTAAAATGTAGGCTTAAAATATATAAAGTGGCTGATACTTGTTATATATATGTGTGCGTGTATGTGTGTTTCAAGAAGGAAGAATGTTGCCATGAGGGTAATTAGTATGTTCGCGTAAAGCGAAAAGAAGTGTTGAATAGTTAAGGATGCGAGATTTAATAAGGCCATCGTTTTCTTGAAAAACATTAAATGACTCGCGCAAAATAGAAGAATTCACGTGAATGTAGGGCGTTCCGGTTAGGGTATCTTTCAATTACCGACTCGATATTAAAAGGAGTTATTGATATCTTCATTGATGTGACAATCCATAATAAACAGTCTAGTTATGCTGATTACCATGGTTACGACAGCTCATTAAGTTCTGGCGCAATCAAAACCTCCACCTAAGAGACGAAAAATACAAGTAAATAGTATTGATTGCATTCCACTCACTTCCACATATGACATTTCTTGATTGGCATACGAACGACGTTTTGGCAGGCCTACCACCAGCATTATATAAACATTATCGAAATATTTGCATGGACAGGAAACAAAGACTACCCTGGTATTCACAAAAGACGGGTGGCGCTATCTTAAAACTTTTAAGCCTAACGAATAAATGTATCATAAACGAATAAATCCACTACTTATTTAATCGAATTTCCATAAATATTCGCAAATCCAATAAGAAATTCTCGCATTTATGACCTAAACTGTTGCCTTAAATCTCAATGGAGGTAGCTTTTATTAAAGATAATTAGAACGATAAAACTGTCAATGGTGGTGAAGAAATTTGATTCCTTCCAATAGGATTCAATTTGCTTGTGTCTATTTGCATTTCACCTTTACTTTGTCCATGGTGCACTGATGCAGAATAGCAAGATTTTTCAGTAAGATTTGAAGTAGGGTTCAGGTTGGAAGCATTTTATGAAGTAAAAATGCCAATAGCCTTAAGTTATATGAATTTTGGGTTTCGAGGAATTTAATTTCCTCGATTCTCAAATTTTTGAACTGATTATTTAATTGATATTTTGTTTATTTTACCTCTTCAAACAGTCACCAGCAGGAAGACGATATCAAAGTATGAAGAAAGGTTTATATTAAAAAATTTCTTATGGACGATACCTTAACATTTGTTCAAAATCAATTTAAATAGGAAAAATGCAGTACAATAACTTGCATTTGTTTTTTTCAACAATTTTAAGAAAAACATTACTTGGCATAGAATTAAAATAAAGGCCAAATGTCTTACGAGGAAAGAATGCATTACATTTTAACAAGGGTAATTTTGTTATAATCTCTCTTAAAACTTCTACTTCATTATTATTTAAGGTCTTTCTGTATTCGTTTATTTGGAATGTTGCTTCTTATTCTTCACAAACGCCCCTTAAGTCATAAGTTATTAATTAAAACAAAACAGAATGTCCTTGATGAAATACTACGCTAGTTTCACAACTGTCTTACTCCATTGCTGGTCCTATGTGAATAAAATAAATTAGAAGATACTATGATAAATCCAAACTCTTTTGGAAAAAAAGGAAAAATTCAATTAGATAAACAACTGCTTTTTTAATTGTAAAATTTAGGAATTACCCTCCTTAATCAAGCAACTGTAAAGAACTAGTTTAATAAGGAGTAAAGATAAATTGCAATTAGTGAAAGGATCCACGGAATCAAAAAGGAAGTCATACCTTATTTAAACAAAATCGATTATTTAAGAAGAATAAATAGAGTTAGCAATGTCCTGTTTCTTTTCGCTAAAGTTCAAATTTCAAAAATTGACCACCTTGTGATATTTGTCAAATTTCATGCACAGTATGTTCAAGCTTTTTTAATCAAAGGAAGAAAAGTATCAATTTTTCATGATGTATCGATACACTTGTCTCTTTAAGTAACTAAGAGTAGCAAGCTAGTACTGTCAATTACTTGCATTCACACCCATATCAGTTTCCTCATTAAATTGGTATGAGGTGAAGTTTTCGCACTGGTAACGAAAATATGTGAATAGGTTTCAATCGCCTTTTGTTCCATTCTTATAGCAAATAATATTTTCATTTGATCTCTTTCAGAGTGCTTTTAAGCAGGTTAACTAAAGCCACTACAAATCTACCTCAGGTTATTTAAAGAGTCAAACAAATTTTGAGTTGAAACATTCCTTTGTTGTAAATACGAATTTTAGTATCGAACATTTGTAATTTGGGTCGCTTAGGAAAGATACCACATTTTAATAATAGATTCAAATCTTCGCGTATAGTAATTCAAATGAGAAACAAATTAATCCACGATAACAAGTAAATACAGAATTTTTAAATCCGTTACTTTACTTTGCTCTTAAAAGACTCAACTTATCATGGTATATTGTGGCCAATGCCCTAGTTAACAAAAGGTGATTTTTATAAGCTATCCAACCCCTTTATGCATCAATGTACCAATTAATGGAGGCGACCAATTAGTGAATAGCATGGCGTTTTCTTATTGGTTATTGCGCTAACAGTGCAGAGACCAAGCACAATCAGATATTTTGAATGTCATTTCATATTGGAATTACAACTTGATCGTTGAAATTTTTATCTCGCGCTGATTTGATTCCAAAATTTACTCTGAAATTATTCTCCAAACCAGTAAACGCTTTTTGGATTTATAATAGCGTTCACTGGAAATTAACTTTTAATCGGATTTAATTTTCCAACTTTTGCCACCAATCTGTTCGGACTAGGGAAAAGTAAACGGCGAGATCGCCGGGCTACGGTTAGTCAAAAAAAATAAAAATATCATGTTTATGTTTAATTATTGTGCATCCTTTTTACTTTATATCCACTTTTTTGCCCCAGTAGTAATTCGAGCAAATTTTGATTTATTTGTGTCAGTTTTATCATATGATATTGGAATGTTTGCCATAAGAACGTAACAGTTATTTAATTTATAATAACCTTAAGGATAGCACAATTTTTTCTTCGTTTTATCTAAAGTACTTCTAGGTTATTCTTCCGTCCTGATTTAAAAACTTAAATTTGAGACTTTGAAAAGTACTTACTTAATTTTTACTTTTTTATAAGATTCTGCTTTTACAGCTTTTTAACTTGTAACCTTTTTAAATGATGTAAGCACTTATTTGGGAAAGCTTACATTTTCTCCCTTAAAGTACTCACCGTTATGCTGAGCAAAATAATTTGAAATATTGAGTCTTACTTTAAATTTAATCCTCGTTTGTTTAAATTACAAACTTTTACGTTTAATGCTTTATTAAAGTGGACTTTGATGAAATTTTTTGTCTTAATAATTTAACAAGTTCGATACTTCGAAAACATGTTTAATCCCTAAGGTAAATATGTAGTATTAATGTGAAACGTAAGCTCTATTTAGTGAATGTTACCAAAATATTCATTTTCACTTGATGGGGAGTATAAAAATTTTTATGCTTAATATGATCATTCGCATAAAATCTTAATTGTCAATACATTATGGTTAAAATGAGGCTCTAATTTCACGTAATTTAAACAAAATTTTAGGCCAACTTGCCCCCAGTTACAGATGGAGGCAGTTTTGCGGATTTACCACCTGTGCATCCGACATCTGTCAACACGCTTACGAGCCTCCCACCAGGAGGTCCTTTTAATTCGGCAACAATAGGGGGTACCTCAGGGGCCGCAACCATTACAGCCTCTCATCTGACACGATCAAGAGGCAGTATGGGAGCGGCTGATCGACCCCAATCCTCAACAATGTCTTCTATGACCTCTTCGAGTTATGGCGGTCATAGAAGACCCCTAAGTCTTGCCGAAGCACCCCTGATTAGTGCCCCTCATACTGGGTCCACATCAGCAACTGCAACACCATCTACTCCTAGTACCAGCTTTTTCCGAACCTTGCCATCTTCGAAGAAGAAGAAGAATAATCGAAAGGTACTGAAACCCCCTATTCAATACTAGCTTTGAAATACTTTTAAGATAACGCATGCTCCCAGTTGGAAACATTTTTTGAGATAAAGGTATGATGGGAGAAGTGTGAAATGGTTGAATTACTCTTTCGGAAGAATTGATTGATTTTCCTTCTACTTTTAACTATTATCGTTATTGTCTAAGACAAAAATATTTTCCAAAATTGTTTTCTCACCGACCGGTGTGTCTGATTTGTAACAATTATAGCAGGTATTTATTCTGTTACGATAGTTATTTTCAAAATTTTTTTATTCTGCATGTTTTTCTCTTTTTCTAAATGATAAAACAATTTTATGGTTAAAATATCGATTTCCGATATCGACTTTAACTGTTCAATTCTTAAGGGATTTTATTCTGAAAATATTAACCAAGTTTTTTTAATATGACTGCAATTAGCATTTACTTTAGATTCTTATTTTCAATCCTAATGTCGAAAACGGGACTCATACATTCCATTACTTATAAAAGGCAATCATCTAACTTTAAAAAGTCTGATTTAGAAGAAAAAATTAATGCATACTACCGTGATTCCTTGTTTCATCTACTGTCTTTTAGTGGAAATTCTAATTCCAATTTGAGTCTTCTTATCTTTTTATGATAATCAAAAATATTATAGCTGGAATGTAATCAAAACCTACTTATATTAAAGTAATTTCCGCCAAAATTCAAAATTTCACATCGTTTACATTTACACAAACAGGCAAAGACCTTTTTGAAACATTCAAAATATGCCACTTCGCCATTATTCTCCTTCTTCCTCCCATGAGTTTATCCACTGAATCTGATTACACAATATATTATACACGTCACTGGGTCTGAAGTCCCAATTATTGATTTATTCTCAGACGAATGTTATTCCCTTACGTCTCAAAGAGAAATGCCAGTGATAACGTCAATACAGCATATAATTTTCTACCCATTGTATGATTATCGATTATTTCCACTATGGCGTCTTTGATCTAGAATAAATTGTACACTTGGCAAACACTCTGATTTATATTAACTTTATTCACACTTTTGCCTAGACAACTTTAATTTCAAAATTCATATTTCATGAGTCTCTATTGCTAGATTGTGTCTACAAAGTTCGGTATTAATTGATCGTTTTGAATAATAGAGATGCCATTCATGTCTTCCGGGTAAACTTGCCATTTATGGCAACTAAAGGACAGTTTTTGATACCAACAGACACTTCTATCACAATTGTTTATTACTGAACATTTGCGGTCTATATATTTTAAGAAAAGTCTTCTCTTTTTATAAATTAAATGTTTCCCCATATTGAAATAGTCGTAAAGCATAAAGTGAAACATACTGCGTGTAATAAAAAATGGCCACTTGCAAACAAAAAGACAAAGTTATTTAAGTATGTTCTTGTTTTAAGAATATTCACAATTTATCTCCTCAAGATTTAGTCACCCATCATTAATGAGGTAAAAAGAAATTTTGAATAAATATATATGTGACTATTTCCTTGGCCAAATGCCACGTATTACCGTTCGTCGTAATTGTGGCTCATGGACTATCTTATACTCTTGTATAATCGATTCGTTTTTAGTCAATTTTCTCAATTTAATACTTCTTTCTTTCTAGCTGAAACCCCTTTGGATTTCAGTTCCGTCTCCCTAAAATACAAATCTTCCTATTTCAGTTATCACGTACAAACCAACTATTCAAATGTTAATCATCCGCTCCTTTAGTAAATTCCGCAGAGTGCTTCAGAATAAACATCTGTTTAAATGGATTCCTAATTTTTTTGCAAACTCAGAATGATTCATCAATTTCGTGTGTGTAAAACGCAAATAACTGGGGGAAGAAGAAGAAGTAGAAGATTCACCAGTAATCCCTTTTGTACAGGCGGACTAGAATTTGACCTTTCTTCTACACTGCGGTATTTAGGCCCAACCAACAGGAGCCACCAACAGCAATTTATTAAAGGTTGTTTCATGCAGGCATTCGATGAACACGTTGGTACACATGAACATACTTGTGTGTTTATTCAATTCTATTTGCTTCACGCAAGCGCCCAACTTTGCAGTTGATTTCACTTCTCGAGTTTAGAAATGTTTGTTACGGCGTAAGGAAAGGACTTAAGCAGAGAGTCCCAATCCTTTAATATTTTATTCATTAAGACGGGGAGGAAGGCCACTCATATTTACGTTTTTATGTTTGCCGGTTTGAAACTCAATTTTTTGCGGAAAATTAATGGAAATAGGGGTAGATGGTCTAGTCGCTTTCATTTTTATTTATCTCAGCTAGTTCCAATTTGTCTGATTATAGAAAGTTTCACTCTCAAACAAATACTGCTGTCATTTGTTTGCGTAAACTAGTCGGAGATCTCACAAGAACTTAATCAATTTTGAATATTGAAAAGTTGAAAACCATTCATTTGTTGTATTAACAGATTCCACCAAACGCAGTTGGTATTTAAAGGAAGCGTGCACTGAAACTTTTACAATTATCACACTTTCTTCACAACAGCCATGGTATTCAAGCACTCATTTGTGACTAATATTGTGACACATTTGTGAGGGGGTGAACTGCGCTTCTCATTCTGCTTATTCAATTCTTTGTTTATTCTTTCATTCCGCTGGATGTGGGTGCGATTCATAACTCTGGAACTATGTTATTTCATGTGATTTGAATAGCCTTTTTTGTTCCTTCTTGAAAAAACCTCACCTTTCACCAAAGAAAGTAGCCACCCACTCAATTCATCTAAATTGGATGTTTCTAATCAAATGCTTTATACGTTTTTTAGGTTAATTAAGGTGGTTATAGTGGGTGGACGGAATGAATTGTCTCGCTTATATTAAACGCTTTAACGCCTGACAAAATGGACACACGTGACGCATCATAATACATTTTTAGGGCATGGTTCTAGTCAAGGTAGCTGATAAACGCTCTTTTCATTAACTTGTTCGTGTTTCATTTCCACGTGTCTTTCATTTCATGAACCCTATCGGATCTGCATCATGGGAAAAATTAGGAAGTTCCTTTAAGTCTCTAAGGGATGCTATTTGCTTAGAATTGTCCGTTTTCTGTAAGAACCCCCCCCCCTTCCCCCAATTAGGATAATAATCCCCCTATAAACAGCAATAGGGTCGGAGAAATGTATTCAATGATAATTTATCAAAGATTAGTTCTATGATTTGATTTGCAAAGAATAATGTCACCAAATCTAAGTGTTTAATATCCATAGTGGTAGACGTGAAAAAATATGCAATCACCTATAGCTCTGGCACCCTCTGGCAACCCAGTCGGTATATAGATCGCAGTGTTTGATTTAACTATCAATAATGGGATGAACTCGTATATAATGTATATTCAGTTCAGTTTAGTTCAGTTTACTAAATTGCCGCTAGCACCTGACTACATGAAGGAGACATCATGCTATTTTTATTTTTGTGGTGCTAGAGGTAGTCGTCATCGGCTCACTACCGCTAACGAATTCTCACCACCCGCCTTTTTAGCAAGCACATTTGATGCGTGCTACAAGCGTACTTTCACATTTTCACCTGTCAGGTGATTTTTGTCATCCGTTTTTTGCGTCTCAATTTTATCAGTAGAATTTTAATGATTTTTATTAAAAGGTTAATTTTTTAAGGCCTGCTGAAATTGATTTAGCATCTCCATCAAATATCAGATAACCTATTTCTGGTTATAATCCCATGTGGCAAGACGAGGCTACTAATCAATAAGATGTGGATCCATTTCTTAATAGCAGCGTCGCTCGTTCTGCCTAGTTAACCTTTATGAACTTAGAAATGGCCTCATAGTTTGGCATGAAACTGTTATACCCGAGCCTCCATTTCAGTTATCAGTCTAGGGAAAGGAATTTCATCTGAGAGTTTCTGTTGTTGAAGTTATGCTGTTTTACTCTTATTGAACCACTTTAATGGCTGGACATGGATACATTCTGCAACCTTGACCTTCAAAATTTTGGACAAGAGATTTCAAAGTTACGCCACCGGGAAAAATCTTAGCAAATTATGTATCGCTCTTTTCATTAAGACATTTTCCAGTTATCTATTTGTAAATCTTACTAGCGTCAATCTCTATATCTTGTGACTACTCTTTGGATCACGAATCCTTTCATTTTAACAAAAAAATTATTATATTACTATATCTTAAAGCGTCAACGCTTTTACAAGCCAGTCAGATTCACAATTGCCAAAATGTTTAAACTGCTAAAATTGGCATTAGTAGGGTGTGATAGTAGAAAGAAGCTTTTGCGTGAAAATAATTTATTTATTTATATCAAATGGCAGGCGTTTTGATAGTTATCATTAGCCCTTTAGTCGACTTCAGGCTTCACAGAGGGGAAGGAACATCAAAGTGAAAAA